TTAAAGAAACTTGAGTGGTTTTGACACAAGCCCTTAAGCCAATTATAAATAAGGAAATACCTAGCCTAACTTCTTATTTCTATCCTAAGTGCATGCTTTTCAATGTGAGATCACATTCTACATCTTTACACTCCCTCTCACGTGTGATGATGCTCAAGCCAAACATATAAACAACATGTATTAGCTAGGTGACGCGCACTTGCCATTAGACTTTACATATGAAGCAACTGCCTGATTCCAAAAATATATGATCTCATTATAAAACTAATTGACAAAAAAAAAACTAAAATACTCAACTCTTTCTAGGTACATGAAAAGTCTCACATCAATCCACATAGTCATAGCCCCAAGTGAAATGGCTATCATATGCAAGTGTCTTAAAATTAAAGTTAAGGTAAATTACACAAAACTATTATGGGTTGAACCACAATTTCATACCTCATGTTTTAAAAATTACAATGTCATACATCATTTTACGAATTTATTGCAATGTTAGAGCCCACTTCCTAGTCCAATTAGATTAAAAAATTTAAGGGTAAATTACATTTTACCCCCTCAAGTTTGGGGTCGATTTCAATTTCTTACAACATCTTTAAAACATTTCAATTTCATATATTTACTTATCATTTTATTTCAATTTCATACATCCATTAGAAAATCTGTTAAATAAACCATTAAGTGCTGACGTGGCTACCAAATTTGTGCCACGAGGCAAAAAAAATAATTTTTATGCATTTAAAATATTATAATATTTATCCTATTAAAAAACTAATAAATAAACAAATACAAACCCAGGACCCCAACCCAACTCCCTCTCCTCCACTCTCTTCACCTCCCTTCCCATCCAAAAACTCACCCCATCCCATCCCACCCCTCCCCCCACCTCCCCCACCCCACCCCCACCTCCCCTGCAATCCCCCCTCCACTCCACTCCACCCCTTATTGTGCGCACCCTCACCTGGTGCTCCAGAATCGGCAATTTCGCCTCCATCACAAACGCCCTACATGCCATGGACAGATTCGGCCGGCTCAACGCCATGCTCAACACCATGTTCTTTGTAGCCAAACAGAAATTTAGCCCAAGGTGAGAAAAAAAATAAAATTGAATTCAAAAGTTCAAATTTTTTACACAGTGGGGGGGGGGTTGCAGGGGAGAGTGGAGGAAAGGGAGATGGGTCGGGGGTTTTGGGTTTGTATGTTTTTTTTTTTTTTAAATAGGTCAAATATTTTTATATTTTAAATGCATAAATTTTTTTTTTGCCACGTGGCACAAATTTGGCAGCCACGTCAGCACTTAACGGTTTACTTAACAGATTTTCTAACGGATGTATGAAATTGAAATAAAATGATAAATAAATGTATGAAATTGAAATGTTTTAAAGATGTTGTAAAAAATTAAAATCGATCACAAACCTGAGCGGATAAAATGTAATTTACCCAAAATTTAAAATAAAATCATTTAACTATTTTTTTTAAAAATGTAGGACCCACATCCTACAAACCCATCACCATCACCCTCACCCTTCTTCCCCAATCCTCCCGAAGGCATCGACCTCGGCCACCCCTTCGACTCCCCCTCCCTATTGATAGTATCGATGCTCAGCACCCCTGTTCTTAACCTGCAAATTGCCAAACAGCTATGGAGAACGATAGAGCCGGAAGGAGACAGAGAGAATTATTTTTTGTTATATTGATAATGATTTTTCTAATTCACCGTTCCAGGACAACCCCACCAACTTGATTACATATATGTTTCCACTACGACAATTGCCAGCTGGCTAGAATACCAAACAACTAGATTATTACTAATAAAAGTACTAGTAAGCTACTAATTGCAATCAGGCTAATCACAATCGTAACATTGCCCACTCCTTCAGATAAACCTTGTCCACAAGGTTGTATTCACAGAGAAAAATCTAGGAATTTCTTAGCTAACTCATCATAATCCTCCCATGTAGCATCTTCTTCCTTGCTGCCCTTCCAATGAACGAGTAGCTGCACTCCCGCTCCATTTCCTTTTCTGTAAACTCGCCGTTGCAGAATTGACATTGGTTCCCGAGACTGCAACCCATCTTCTATCATCACTGGTAGTGTTGTTAGAGGACTAACCCCTGGACCCAAATGCTTCTTCAAACAGCTAACATGGAAGACAGGATGTATTTTGGAATCTGTAGGAAGTTTGAGTTTGTAGGCTACACTCCCAATCCTCTCCAGAACTTCATAAGGGCCATAAAACCTAGGATGTAATTTATGAAAAGCATGTGCAGCCAATGATTGCAACTGGTAAGGAACCAATTTCAAATAAACCAAGTCTCCAACTTCAAACTCTTTTTCCCTTCTATGCTTATTAGCTTGAGCTTTCATCCTGTTCTGAGCCACCAACAGATTAGTCTTGAGCATATCTAAAAGATTATCCCTTGCTAACAATCCTTGCTCAATTATATCCAGTTTTGCAGTGCCTTTTTCATAAGAAGCAATATGTGGAGGGGGATACCCATAAACAACTTCAAAAGGAGATAATTTGGATGAACTGTGAACTGAAGAATTATAACTCCATTCTGCCCATGGGAGCCAATAGAGCCACTTTTTGGGTTGACAACTTGTGAAGCACCTAAGATAGGTCTCCAGGCACCGGTTAACCACCTCAGTTTGGCCATCACTCTAATGGTGGTATCCTGAACTCATACACAGCTTAGACCCACTCAATTTGAAAAATTCTTTCCAAAAAGCACTGAGGAATACAGTGTCTCTATCACTTACTATGGTTGATGGCATGCCATGCAGCTTGAACACATGCTCTACAAATTCTTGAGCTACCATAGTTGCAGTACAAGGGTGTCCAAGAGGAATGAAGTGAGCATATTTTGATAATCTGTCCACAACCACGAAAATAACAGACTTTCCCTTGCAATTGGGTAAGCCACAAATAAAATCCATGCTAATGTCCCTCCAAACATTTTCAGGTATTGGAAGTGGCTGAAGCAGACCTAGTGGTGACAAGGTCTCATACTTATTCTGTTAGCACACCCTGCACTCGGCTACCCATGACTTAATATCTTTTTTCATCCCTACTCAATAAAAACTTCTTTTCAATCTTTGGTAGGTTTTTTAGACTCCTTCATGACCGGCCATTGGAATGCAATGATGCTCTTCATAGATCTTTTGTCTCCAAGTTGAATTAGGTCCAATCACAATCCTAGCTTTGTACTTTAAAAAACCATTATCAATGTGGAACTTTGATAAATGGGAAGTAAGTGAGTTGGCGTGTGTGGCTGCCCTTAATTCCTCCATCTTTTTTTTAACCCACTCATCTTTTTGTAACACCTATGTGGCTCTCCTCCCCTTCCTTCCACCTCCGCATCAAGCCCTTTCTCTTTTGGAAGAAGAACGACTCCAAGAAGCTCTCCCCCAACATTCCCTCTTCTGATACCTCTCTAAAACTCAGTTCGGTTCCGGACCCAAACCCTAATCCGGGTTCTACGACGTCGTCGTCAACAACGAGATGACCCTCTTCTTCGAAGATTTAACCCTCAAAGCCTACGCCAAGACCCAGCCCCAAAAATCCGATACTCCCCCAATCTTGAAAAGCATGTCGTAGACAAGAAAATCTTTTCCACTCCGGCCCATTTCGACGGAAAATTGCAGAGGAAACTAACCCTAAACAAAAAAAATGGACACATAATGATGGGGATTGGATAAATATGATTAGAGTCGGCTAGTGTGTTTTCGATCTCAACCCCAATTTTGTTTTGATAACCCAAGACAATTACTTTAACCCACAGAAATTACTAGAACCCACACAATTAAACCCATAGAAATTAGTTAAGTAGGTCTAATTAAGATGGGATTAGGAGGTCAAATTAAACATGTGTAATAATAAATGCTTTGGATCAACTAATTGGAGTGAAGTTGAAGAGCAACGGAGGGAGGGGATTCTTGGTAATGGACCTTACAAACCTCCTCGATTTCTGACTACTTGGATCGGGAGAAGTGTTAGAGATGCTGGAGCACATCTTGGGCTTCCAGGAAGTGAAGGCCTTGCAAAACAAGGGGCCCACATCCTCGCTGTTGCAGATGGCGGAGGAGAGGAGCAGCTGGTCGAGTTTTTCAGCCGAGTAGCCGTTTTCCACGGTGGACGGAGCTACTTTCCGTTGAGACTTTGTGGGCTGCAAGAATGGAGAGGATTTAGGAAAGGGGTGTGCTATCCACACACCCCATTGTACTTCTCACACACCCCTGAATAATTTATGTCTGTTGATTTTCTTCAATTCATCCGATCCGACGGCTGAAAATTAAAAAGGTGTGTGAGAAGTAAAATGAGGTGTGTGGATATCACACCCCTTTAGGAAAACTGAAGAGAGAAGGGGTCGTTACATGTTGTTTGACGGAAATAACACTGGGAACAAGGGAAATATATGTATGAAGGAGGTGAAGGTAGGAGAGCAACCGAGGGAAGGGGAGTCGAAGGAGTGGCTGCGAGGCCGATGTCGTCGGGGAAAAGGGTGAGGCTGATGATGTTCCACAATTTTTATAAAAATATTTAAATGATTTTTTTTTTAATTTTTTTTATATTTAATTAAATTTTTAATCCAATTGGGCTAGGAAGTGGGTTTCACCTTAAGTCACGTCAACATTTAACAAAGAAATTGACAGAAAAACTGACTACGGTTTGACATTGCAATAAATTCGTAAAATGAAGAGGTATGACATTGTAACTTTTAAAACATGATGTATGAAATTGTGATTCGACTCATAGTTAGGGTATTTTTGTGTAGTTTATCCTTAAGTTAATAACTCATGACTCATGCAGCTTCAAACCCTAGTTGGATCCCCATATTGGCCACCTCTAAAAACATAACTGAATTGCGAAGTACATGGAAGACCAAGGTTCCAGAAATCTTAATATGGGAGATGAAAACATGGTCAAAACGCCCAAACAATGTAACCCTTTGATTATAAATCTTAATCACATTTAATTATTGGCCAAAAAGGCATCCAAATGCTCCCTTTAACGTGGCAACATGAATTTATTTGACGAAATCAGCCTAACTAATTAAGATAAAAATAAACTCCCAAGAAAATACCGACCCCCATTTTCTCCCACAAAAATCTCTTCTCCCCTGCCTTTCTTTTCCTTCCAAACTCACTTTCTCATGCAGTAATCAAAATCAGAGATTTTTGCATATCTGTCGCACCTTTCTCTTTTATCTGCATTTTCTTTTCTCATTGCACAAGGTTCATCTCCTATAGAAGATCAACATGGTAAGCATGCTCCTCTCCAGCTATTTTTTTTTTTTTTTTCTGTGAAGGTAACATAATTATGGAAATGCATGCGTGATTAAATCATAAAAGTTATTGGCTAGAGTAGAAGATATGTGATGATTTGTTTTCTTAATATTATCACATATCAAATCTTTTTCTACCTCCGAATTGTGATGCTATGGAACGGTTCTCATTTTCTTTGGACCCATTAATGTGGGAAATTTCAGGCATAATTCAACATTTTCCAAATCTCTTGATCTATCTTGTTTTCCAATGATCATAATGTTTGGGACATACACGTCTTTCTCGCTAGCTAGATAGTCAGACATGTTATGTTGTTAAACTGTTATATGATTATCATATAGTCTGACATGTTATGTTGCTAAATTGTTCCAAGACCGCACATTTCCAAACAAACTGTACTGTGACTTACAAAAATCTAATCAATTATGGTGTTAGACTATTTTAATTTTCGGTGACATTGATGGGTAGGCAAACGCTGCTTCTGGAATGGCTGTGCATGATGATTGTAAGCTCAAGTTCTTAGAACTAAAAGCGAAGAGAAATTTCCGATTTATTGTGTTCAAGATCGAGGAGAAGATACAACAGGTGATTGTAGAGAAGCTTGGAGGTCCTGATGAAAGCTACGATGATTTCAGTGCCTCCATGCCTGCCGATGAGTGCCGCTATGCCGTCTATGATTTTGATTTTACAACCAATGAGAACTGCCAGAAAAGCAAAATATTCTTCATTGCATGGTTAGTAAGTATACAAATTGATTTTTTTTTCTTAAAAAAAATAGACAAAAGTATACAAATTGATTTTACTTAAGTTGCTTGTGTGATGTATGGTTCATTATGTGTATATTTGCGTAACATGACGTAATTAGAGATGTTTTCTTATCATACGAGACATTTTGTGTACTATGATTGTTAGGCTAAAAGTTAAAATTGAACTGATGTTAGGAAGAATCTTGGTAGAATTAAGGCTCTAATTGATATCATTTCGTAAGCATAACATGTCATAGATATCTAATAAGAGAACCGTAGTCTTCAAACACCCATTGTTGACAATCAAATTCCTTAAAAGTAAAGAAAAACTTCTAGAATTGATTAATGAAAGCTATAGACCATTTTATTGGCTTCTTGTGGATGTACATATATAGGGCACCCGATACATCAAGGGTGAGAAGTAAGATGCTTTATGCAAGCTCCAAGGACAGATTCAAGAGGGAGTTGGAAGGCATTCAAGTGGAGTTGCAGGCAACAGATCCTAGTGAGATGAGCTTGGATATCATAAAAGGGCGGGCACTCTAAACATTCCTGTAGAGCATTGGTCCATCACTTCGTCATATGATCTGTCTTTCAATTTTCCTAGTCGTGTGAGTTATTTTAAATTAATTACTTTATTTTCAGATCAGCTGTTTATTCAGATCTAAAACTTAATTTGATTGATACATTGCTTTGCTGTATTGGTGTATGTCAGAGTTTATTATGTTCTCTTAACAAAGGATAATATCACTTAAGATATTTGGTGTAAACATTTTTTTTTAGCATGCGATTTTATCTACACTAAGTGGGTTGAGGGGAGTGGGCTAAACCTCACAATGGGCTTACCACCGCCTCGATTAATGTCTAGGTGTTTGAAAATTAAGAAATAACCCCTAGACCTGCTGAGGTGCCCGCCAAGATCATCTAGGCACCCGCCTAGCCCGTCCAAACCCGCCTAGGTCGTGAATCGCTTAGACAGAAAATAGATAACTTTCACTTTGCATTTTATTTTTTTCAATAAATTGTAAGAGACTTGTTGCATACTTAAATGAACACACAACCCATGTTTTCTTTATGTTCCAAAACTTCATAATATATGTCATTCTATTTTGAAGTTTAAGGTGAAATTATAAATATTTTAAATATAAGCATACACTTATTTCAACGAAATATAATAGATTTACTTAAATTCACTTAGTCCACCTAAGAGCTCGCCTAGGCCTTGCATAGGCGCTAGGCCCCAACCCACTCCCCAACTAGCGTCTAGCGTCTTTTAGAACCTTGCCTTTAGAGAGAATCGAACCTAAGACCTCTCACTTACAAGTGAAGAGGAATACCACTAGATCGTAGTACTAAGTGGCAAGGTATTTGGTGTAAACTTATCTTTGGGATTTTTCGTATTTGAGACTAGAAGAAAATATTGTTAGGGTGTGTTTAAAATTCCCTATCAACTTTAAGGGGAGTGTTGTTTAGCCAAAATCAAGGATAAAACCTTGTTTGATATAACTGTCGCCCATGAGATTTGAATTCAGAACATTCTCCAACAAAGTGAAGACTGTCAGTCAACTAAATGATCGTGTAAGGATAAAACTTTAAGTGGATATTAATCAGCTAAGTTACTTGGAATCTTATTTTCAAATCTCTTCATTTAAGTCTAGGACATAAAATTACAAGTCATAGCCTATGGAACACATAGAAAATGCACAACAGGAGACATTGGAAAAGGTTCTATTGCGTTTTATTTCTACTTTTCCAGTATTCATCTTCCCAAACTTCTACTTGCCTAGTTGAATTAGCCTTTCTCTCAAGAAAATTACGAAGAGCCGGAGATTCGTATGGAGGAGGCAGAGTGCATGGCAGTTCATCACTAGGATACTTCACCATGGACTCCACCATGAAGTTCTTCCATGTACCATTTGCAGCACATGCCATTGTTTCTGAGCATAGCTCCACTGCACTGGGAGGTATAGTCGCTTTGAATTGCAAGAGCTTTGCATATTCATTTAGCACATGAAACATGTAATCGTACACATAGTCCATCTTTAGATCTTCTTGTATGAATTTGCTAGCTGCCTCCCCAATTTCCTGCACCTGCCATATTTACAAGATACCAAAAATGTTAATTTCATGAACCTACAGTTCAAATTCACAGTATGCAACATAACATGCCCTATTGTTTCACAAAAAATACATATAATTTCATTGTATGCTTGAAGTTTTACTAGGACATAGATAGATATATAACCTTGTCTGTGTGATTATTGCCCCATTCCACCGCGAACTTAAGAGAAGTGCACTTGCTGTTGTCCCTAATAGGCCAGTAATGCTGCAATGGCGTCATGCTTCTCATAAAGAAATCGTAGTACCGAGGCTTTACATACAGCGTCATAGAATTGCATGCCATGATGTATTTTTCACTTACAGACCACGCCCATCCTTCTACATAAATTTTATACCTGTGCAAACCAAATTAAGCTCTATATATCAGTACAACACAGCAAAAAGGAAGAAAGTTTTAAGTTGTTAATAAATGGAATTTCAAATGAAAAGATATCGAAAACTACCTATGCTTGCACTGGTCTTCCAAGTTGGATTGCTTGTACCCTTGTTTAGATTCTTTCTCCCAATCCTGAAAATTAAAATAACAAATAGAAATATGCAGTGTTATGTATTATAATCTGTACGAAAGTAAACAGTTTCTGAGATTAATTTGGGTAAAAGAAAGTACACAAACTAATACATTAGGAAGTTATATTTGTGTATATATACAGAAATTTACCTGTATATATAGGCGTGTATTCCAGTCATTTTTTTCTGAGACATTGCATTTGAGAAGGTCCTTTCTGGTTGGAGCGACGTGAGGGTTACCTTTCCAGTAAGCATAGGGGATCCTGTCCTTCCACTTTGTTCTTTTATTGCCTTCTTTTATGCTTGGCAATAAACTTCTCCATGGTTTTATGTTGATCTCAACCCTGCCAAAATTAAAAGAAGAGTTTGCAAGATTCCATGTGTAACATATGGTTCCTTCAAATAAACAAAGAAACAAAAACAAAGGGCATTTCACATGCAAAAACACTAAATATTTGTAAGAGTAAGACATAAGCAATTTTACCAGCCCCAAAAGGACCAATCTGGAAACACAATGTCCAAGCTCTCCTCGTCTGCACAATATCGAAACACCGGTGGCGGGCCAACATTAGGCCCCCGAAAGTCCTTTGATCGGACGACAGGCCGATCATCGCAGTCAAACATGAGCTCCAAGTCAGGCAATCTACCAGGGTAAACCCTTAGAAGCTGTAAAATGCCCCATAACGTGAACATGTCCCTAGTTTGTATGGATTGTCTGTACTTCTCTATGTAGGCCTTTCCGTCCACGATCACAAGCCTAAAATGTGCAGTCTTTCGGGCCCGCTCAATCATGTCCCTTGTGATTCCCGTCCCTTTCCATGGTCTTAGATCTTCATGGATCCATCGGAAGTGTGACGGGCATGTGAGGTTTGATGGACGGTTAGGATTTGTGGGGTTGTGTGTGGTAGGGTAGGTTCTTGGACAAGTTTGTGTTACATTAATTCCTTTGGTACACTGCAGAGGGAATTCAATTCTTTTTGGGGTTTCTTTTGTGGGTATGATTGATTCGTTAGAATAAGTACCTGAAAATATAAACTTTCTCTGAGAAAGAGAGAAAGGATGAAAATATTTTATAAGTTAGTATGAAGCAAAATTTTGATACAAAAGAATCTTTTATGTGAAATGCAAAGGTACCAAAAAATAAAATTAAATATTAGAAAAGTAAAAAGATTAAACACTCCATCTGGAGTTTGAAGTTGATTCTTTGTAATTGCTCTGAACAACAAGGAAGTAAAATATTATTGTATTTCGATGACCAAACTTCGGAAATCTTAGTTTTTTCCACTCGTGCTAAGTGAGAAGAGATAAGACTACAATAGTCGTCTAACGACCGAGCCCTTATGTATAGTAGCGTTATTATTTTCCAGACTACATTTTCTGACCACCTCTGCAATATATGGATCCACTTCAAGTAAGGTGGTCGATAAATACCTTCGATATGTTTTTCTTTAGTTTAAAAATTTTGTTATAAATAGTCTTATTTAAGGAAACAAAATATAGAAGATAATAAACATACCCACTATGTGACAAACTAGAATTCCCTTATTCAAACTTTATGTATAATCTAGCATTATGAGTTCATTGAACTTACAGTATCAATCCAGCCAGCAGATAACAACGCAGCAACACACAAAAGCAGCAACAACAGGAAGAAGATTAAAGAAGCTGTTGCACTTCTCTTCTGCAATGGCCTCCAACTTGTTCCTATAAAATGCCGATGCAATCCTGTCCCATCCAACAACTCATACAAATGCTTCCCATTGTTCCTCTTCATGTTTATGCTTCAAGCTATCCTCCAAGCCACCTTGAGGAGGCCTCCTGTACTTCTATGCTATATAGTCAAGTCTATGAGAACTTCAATTACAAGTCCTTGGCCTTGCTATCTAGCTTCTTCTCGATCTTATCAGATATTTAATGTTTATGTTGTTAGACTGTCAATTTAGACCGTCCTGTCAAACAAGAGCCCATATAACAACTCATATAGGTTTTCTGCCACCATAACAACTCATATATTGTTTGGCAAGAAAACTCGTGTCTATATATTTATATATTAACAATTGACAACATTTGTTTGGCAAGAAAACTATATATATGTATTTTGCACTTACCATGTATGTTTACATTATCGTGGAATGTGCAGTGTCTAACTTTCATAATTCATGTTTTATGCCGCCACCTCCGTAATTGCATGAAAGACTCCCCAATTTTTGAAGAAAAGTCTCCAAAGTTTATGAGGTCTTCGGCCTAACAATGGACCAAGCTGGTCAGGGGTTGCGTGTTTTATCAATCTTGGAAAATGGAACACCCTCCGCCGTTATGGCCAAATTTTCATTATTGACCTAAACCATCTAAGAATTTTTATCCTACCTCTATATATATATATATATATATCTCTCTCTCTCTCTCTCTCTAAATTTCAACAGTCCTTATTTAACCCAGTGGATGGATAAGGTACGCTGCTACAGTGACCTACTGGGACAATTTGCAGCAATAAAGTTTATTAAGTATACAACAACAACAACAACAACAACAAAGCCTTTTCCCACTAAGTGGGGTCGGCTATATGAATCCTAGAACGCCATTGCGCTCGGTTTTGTGTCATGTCCTCCGTTAGATCCAAGTACTCTAAGCCTTTTCTTAGAGTCTCTTCCAAAGTTTTCCTAGGTCTTCCTCTACCCCTTCGGCCCTGAACCTCTGTCCCGTAGTCACATCTTCGAACCGGAGCGTCAGTCGGCCTTCTTTGCACATGTCCAAATCACCGGAACCGATTTTCTCTCATCTTTCCTTCAATTTCGGCTACTCCTACTTTACCTCGGATATCCTCATTCTCAATCTTATCCTTTCTCGTGTGCCCACACATCCCACGAAGCATCCTCATCTCTGCTACACCCATTTTGTGTACGTGTTGATGTTTCACCGCCCAACATTCTGTGCCATACAACATCGCTGGCCTTATTGCCGTCTTATAAAATTTTCCCTTGAGCTTCAGTGGCCTACGACGGTCACACAACATGCTAGATGCACTCTTACACTTCATCCATCCAGCTCGTATTCTATGGTTGAGATCTCCATCTAATTCTCCGTTCTCTTGTAAGATAGATCCTAGGTAGCGAAAACGGTCGCTTTT